GAGTTGAGACTTTTAAGAAATTCGAAAGCATAAACAAAATAGAAAGAAAAACCTTAGAGGTTAAATTAGTGAAATGGGAATACACATTAGGGGTCCCTTATTTTGAAGAATCATTTTGAAAGTAAGAAGAGTATCATCCCTAAAACTAGTAAGTATCAGTAAATATTGTTATTTTAAAATTCCTACAAAGTAGTGGGTATAAAGCAACTCTGACCTGAGAATCAGGAGACCTTGCCTGGTTCTAAATCTGGCTCTGATACTACATGGATGGATGTCCTTGGAAAAATTATTTAGTGAGAATGTTAGGCTAGATTAATGGTTTGAACTGGGAATGCATATGAAATGCCTGCAAAGATTTTTTTTTCTTCAAAATAAATTTGCTTGAACCTTCTCCCTGGATATCCTAAGATGCCCATGGGATGGGGAATGGGACAGTGGATAAGTAGTTAGATGGGGTTAGATGGATATGGCAGGTGTACTTGAAGTTTATTTATTTTTGAGAAGTGGGGGGGAAGCGGGCATGAGTGGGGGAGGGGCAGAGAGAGAGGGAGACAGAGCATCCCCAGCAGGCTCCACGCTGTCAGCACAGAGCCTGACGTGGAAGCTTGAACTAAAGAACCATGAGATCATGACCTGAGCCGAAATCATGAACTAACTGAGCCACCCAGGTGCCCAGATATGGCAGGTATACTTAAAAATAGCTGAAGGGCTAGGGATATAGAAGAAATTAGAGTTAAAAATCTGAAACTGAGTGATAGGTACATGAGGGTTCATCATATCATTCTCTTTACTTTTGTAGGGGTTGAGGAGCTTTCCAGATCTTCTTACACACCTTTAGTAGACAGTGCTTCTTAAACTTTAATGTCTCAGACAAATCACTGGGGGCCTCCTAAAATACATGTTCTGACTTAGTAGTTTGGGAAGGCCTGAGTCTGAAGTTCTCACAAGTGCCCAGGTGATGGTGATACTGTTGGTCTATGAACTACATTTGAGTAGAAAGGAGTTAGAACACCACCGGACCAGATATTATTAACTAGAATATTCTATTTCCTAAGCAGGTCATAGGATAAAGGCTCTCAGCCATCATTTGGCAAGTAAAAATATGAAGCAAACCACATAATTTTTATTCACATGTAAAAGTAGTAAGAAAGAATATTCATTACCATGCTTAAAATTACTGCTCAAATAGTCACTTGAGCTCATCTATGAAATAATGTGTCTAGAAGATTATGATGTAAGCCAAGACTTAAGACAATTTAAATAATATCTAATATCCAACAGATCTGGTGTTTACATATTAAGAAGAGCTTTGTACCAGAACTGTTCTGTCATGTTTCTGCCCAGAGGCTGTCATGATAAAGTTTATTATCAGTTACTGCTTTACAAGTATAAAATAAGTTAAGCTGTCATATTTTTCTCAGGCAAAGATCCTAAGCTGTCAAAGAATGTCAATTTTAAATCTGACATAGAGAAGAAAATTATCTGTTATTCTGACCTCTAATTTCTTGACATTTTAATGCCATAATTGCTGTGGTTAGTGCTGCTTCATGATTTCACCTGTCAAGGAAGAATGAATCAATAACCTTAAGCCATTTCTCAAATTTTAGCACTGACCTCAAAGCTCAAAGTTATAGGCAGACTGTGGGATATGGCAGGTTGTGGGATATGTATTATGTATATATATATATACATATATATACATGTATATATATATATATATACATGTATATATATGTATATGACATATACAGATATTCATACAGTAAATATTTATTTTTTTAGATAAGTGTTTAAGCATCAAAAAATTCATCTTCTTTAGGCTAGTTGCAGTTTAGTATAACTATAGTCTTCCTTTGGTTTTATCTACGTGAAATGTAATGATCTTAGTATTGTAAAAATACAAAGACAAACATTATCAAGTAAAAGAAATTCATTAAGGTCAATAAGAGGGTTAATATTTTGAACACGTCTTTTTTTCAAGAGTTTGTGTCCCACCGTTTAGGTAGGTATCAACTTTCTTAAGTCATGGTGCCATAGCCCAGACCTCTGGGATCTCAACATTGATGTTTTCATAAAAGATGCCTCCCAGAGGGCCCCTTCACAGGGGAAATGTATATGTAAGGGGGTATAGATGGCTACCAAGTAACAAATATACTGCACTTCATTCCACTTATCTGCAGAGTTGTATCCTGCGACAGTAGATCTTAAGTGCTTTTTGGGCTGGCAAACATACGTCGTGTTTACAGAGACAGCAACTGAGGTGGAGGGAGCTAGATGACTTGGTTGACATTAGATAGCTCACAGATTTTAGGTGGGTTCCCATCTGTTGCAGGTTCTTAAATATTAGTGCAGAACTTTTGGGGGGAATATGTTAGTTCTGTAGGATAGATGAGATAAGGATGGGGAGTAGGGAGAAGGACAGTTAGCTACTATCCCTTGATATCATTCAATCTGCTATGGCTACAACATTATAAGCAGCCTCTAGTGATCTTAAGGAAATAAAGTATCTTCCTAAGCAGTCTTGAGTTGACACAGGTCCTCAGGGTCAGAGCAAATGTTACTCTCTGCTGGTGGGTGCTTGGGCCTACGCTGGCTGGGGGAGGGAAGGTCGTTGTGTTCCAAGTGTGTGCTCCCTTACCAAGTATCCTGAGAAGTGACATCAGTGTGTTTGGGTCAGGGAGGCAGGTGAGGAGCCGGGGTGGGAGAACATCTCTATCACAGAATGAGTCTGGGAGTTTCTCTAGTGGAACCTTGGTGTTCAGCAATTAGGTGCTCAGACTGAGACTGCCAGAAGGAAAGAGTCCTGAATTCTGGTACCCTAGTGCTCGGCAGTCTGCCTCACTAGGAGAGAATCAGGAGCAGAAGCATACTGTTCAGACAGTCTATCTAATAAACAAACATCATGGCTGAACCATTCCCAACCAACCAAAATTTTTTAAAAATTACACATTTTCATGTAATGTTTCATTAGGAAGTCTTATAACTTGATAATTAAGGCCTATGCATAGTGTTTCCCCCCCACTGTCCAAAGCAATGGTGTGATATCTTATAGAAACAAGTATTTTTATAGAATTCAAATAATAAACACTATATCCATGTAAAGAAAGTCTCCATTCGAATTCCATTTTCTCTTTATTCCCATTTATCTCTTTATTTACTCTCATTTGAATATAAAAAAGTCTGGTATTATTCTGTCAATGGTAATGCGGTCTTGTACTTTCATTATGTACAATATGATTAAAATATTATATTTTGCCCAAGAGGATTAACTTGCAACTTTCTTTACAAGGATAGAACTTTATAATGGATAAAAATGTGTAATAAAAATGTGTAATTTGCTCCTGTAATATTCAGGAGCAAAATGGTTTATGATATTTAAAATTTTTTGACAGAGAGAGAGAGAGAGAGAGAGAGAGAGAGAGAGAGAGAGAGAGACAGAGCATGGGTGGGGGAGGGGCAGAAAGCGAGGGAGACACAGAATCTGAAACAGCCTCCAGGCTCTGAGCTGTCAGCGCAGAGCCCGTCACGGGGCTCAAACTCACAGACCACGAGATCCTGACCTGAGCAGAAGTCAGACGCTCAACCGACTGAGCCACCCAGGCATCCCATAGGATATTTAAAAGTCAAAAAGCAACTTAGAGCTGGTCTTGGAATAAAACAATAAGCTATTCCAAGTATTTTCTTTTTTTTCTGATCCTATAGATATTGGGTCTAAAAGGGGAATACAATCTGTAAGGCGTTTACAGAACTGGACATGTGTTAAACAAAGGCATATTGTGAACAGAATAATTGAGAATATCTTCTACAAAATAATCTGATTACAGTTTGTACAGGGGATACTAAATCAGGAGAGTGTAATGGTTTGTAGAGAAAATCCCTTCTTTCACTGATGAATTTCATACTATCTGACTTCTCTCTCATTCATTCATTCTCTGTCTCTATTCCCTTCCTCCAGCTTCAGGCAATAATCCGTTTCCTTGCACATACAACACGATGTAACACTGCACCTAATAACGTGCTTACAATGTGTTCTCTGAATATTCAGCCCTAAGGGTCCAATGAGCACTCATTGTGAGCCTCTTCCCTTTTCTTTTCTCTGCTTGAAGCCATACAAATGGAACCATTTTGCTTTTGTAGAGGTATATAAGAAGTAACTTTATGGATGCAAATTTTTCTTATAGGGCTTTATTTCCCAAATCTACAAGTTTTCCACCTCTAAGACTAAAAGTAAAAAATACAACAAGCATTCCATGATTGCTTGTTTTGCACACAGCAGATGGCAGCTACCGGGTGGAATGGGGGCTGGGGCATGGCTTCCTTGGCAGTGATGCTCACCCAGCAGCTGTTGCTTCTTTACTCCTTCACCTATCTGAAGTCATTTCGTGCAGTGCAGAAGTGATTTAAATAATATTTTCCAGGAATATTTTCACTAAAAATACTTACTCACACACAATTCCCAACTGTTAGCTATAAACTTTCAGGGTAAGAACCTACATGGATAAAATACTATACCCTCATCTATTTCATTGATGCATTTTGGTGAATATTCTGGAATAAAATACTATATATACCCTCATCTATTTTATCAATGCATTTTTTGGGCATTCTGTGTAGAAGTCTGCAAGTTTGCTTTTATTAAGAAAATATATACTGGCAGATTATTTTAATGTGAACTATTCATATTCAAATGTCCCACTAGGTTTTATTAATAACACACACTGAGCATTAAGCATTTTAATGAAGACGCTAAAATAAAACAAGCAAAATAGGGATATTGAAGTGCATTATATATGTCTACAATTCAAAAAAGAAGAACATGATGGTCTCATTACTTGGTTTTGACATATATTATTCATTTTCCTACATTTGTAAAAACTCTGGAATTTATGTTTTGTAAAAATTGATGTTGCAAAGAAATGTATACGGAAAGAGATGGAAAGCCAAATGTCTTTCTGAGAGATGAAAGAAATTTTTGGAATAATATGGGATTTAACACCTACCTCCCTGAGCACAGGGTCAGTGATACTATCCAGATTCACAGAGCCTTCGTAGGTTAAGTAGTGAAAAACATTCAGAGCACGGACTGCTTCTGGTCCTCGCTGTTTGTAGCCAAATATAAGGTCAATCCACTGATGGAGTTGGCAAGAAACAAATTCACTTTCCAGGGCCTGTAATGAGTCAAGAAAGAAATAAGAGACAGTACAAACTGAGCTAATCTCCCTTATTCTTAGTTTGAAATATTCTATATAAAGGAGTACAATATGTTCTTTGCTTTACCCTATTTTATCTATATGTATTACACATCCTATTCCTAGAAATGGTAACATACAACCTCCAATAAAACACAGACCTGAGTGAAAATTTTCCCTTTCTAAAATGCTTTTCTTGTGGCTCCAGCTACGTATATGATACAATTTTTAATATTAAGTAGATTTCTCAAAAAAGCCACATTCATGTTTAAAACAAAATAATTTGAAGTACCTGTTCTAATTTTACAATAATTTCATTTCTAATTTTTAAGCATTAGTTTAAAACTGAACAATTTTATTAGAAATGCATTGATACACACTTATTTTCCTGCCTGAAGTCCTCAAATTTACCTCTAACCCTACGAAAAGGGGACATCCTCCTGCTGCTACAAATGAATCCTTGCTTTTATACAGGGTAGAAATCCTTGGGCGATTTTAGATGTTTGCTAGCTAGTAGGAAATGAATGCAAATTAATGACAACCAATGACCATACTAAGCTTCCGTAAAGGGTCAGAAAAAAAAGAAGGCCTTGTCATTCCCCAAGAAACCATCATAAGCTTTCTGGAGGTATTGGGCCATGTAGACACGGAGTTCTGTTCACACCTGTGATATGAGCAGTGACAATCACTGTATGGCTCACTATGCCTCTCACCTACTGCAGTCACCTGTCATCAATTTCTTATTGATTTTAAGAGCACACTGATTTCAGCAACATGAACAAAAGCTGTAGAACTAGCTTCTTAAATTGCAACTAAGTGCAGCCATATTACACAATTTTCTAAATTACAGCTGTAACTAAATATGTGAATGAAGTCATTCTCTGGCTTCATGACCCTGATTTCCAACGTGTTGACACCAATTTGGATTCACTTAATTAATAAATGATTTCTTAAATTAGCCTTCTGATAATTACACTTCATTTTTTTAATCTATAAAATATCTGAATGATACTTTTCAACTTTTCCTGTGATCACATTTTACTACTAATTTTATTCCCCTCAGCTTCTTCTTGACTTATTTCTCTCAAAAGTTTTGATATTTTACTTAAACCAATTATTGTGCATGTTTCTCATTCAGAAATATAAACAATTAGACTTTATTAAAGGGTAATTTCTGTACTGAAATTGAACAGGATTTTTGTATTCTCTATCGTAGTGGTCTTGATATAATAGTTCAGACTAGAGCACAGGGAAGGAGACTAAAATAGAAGAACGAGGTTGGTTAAAATTCTATATTGGTTACGTCATAAATGTTGGTTTGGTCAATGTACACAAATGATTTTGTAAGTGCAGTATAACTAGTTAGTTAAGAAAAAAGTCAGTCTAATTAGTGCCTGGTACAATAAATGAAAAGGATGAAAGACAAAAAGTTATGGAGTAGCTATTGTCCAAATGTATTCACAGGAGTTCAAAATAATACTGAAATCAGATAGATTATTTAAAGGAAGATTCTACCAACATCATCACATAATCAGTTAATCAGCAACAATTTCAAATAAATCTTAACAACATATTTGGAAAGGATTGATGAAATTCACTATTATTCTGTAGAGTAAAGCAATTATTGAATAAAATGCCTAATGCAGATACGAGAGGTGGAAGGAATGATTATTTTTCACTAATTTCAATTTTCAAAATCTATTTGTTCTCTTTTATCTCTATCCACTACTTTCATTTCTTTCCTCCACCAGAGGCACCATCTGTAATGTGTTTGAAGTCTCTCCTTTTGTTTGCATGTGTTTTTATAAAACATTACTCATTATTTGTGTATGCATTTTTGATTCATAAAAATGATATAGGGTTATAGATTTCATGTAGTTTCTTACTTTTTTCCAGTTAGCATTGATTTTTAAGATTATGTCACTGTATGTATAGGTAGTCCATTGTTTCTTTTTTTTTAAAGATTTTTTTTAAGTTTATTTATTTTAAGAGAGAGAGAGAGAGAGAGAGAGAAAGGAGGGGAGGGGCAGAGAGAGTGGGAGAGAGAGAGAGAATCCCACGCAGGTTCTATACTGTCAGCCTAAAGTGGAACTTGAACTCATGAACATTGAGATTGTGACCTGAACTAAAATCAAGAGTTGGGCACTTCACCAACTGAGCCACACAAGTGCCCCGGTAGTCTACTGATTCTAATGGCTGCATAGAACTCCCCCCAGCAATGAGCATTAGACTGCCTCTAAGTCCCCATGATACGATGCTGTGATAAATGTCCACTTTTGCATCTCCTTTTGGATCTTTGTAAGAATTTCTTTGGGACTCATAATCTGGAGTAGGACTGCTGTGTCACCACATGGATGTGTGTAAACCCCATGACTTAGCAGCCATTAGTCTGCAGGTGCTCTTCAGAATGGCTGCCCAGCTCCACATCCTCCAGTGGTGCATAAAGGGTTCTATATGTCCACATCCCCATTGGCTCTTGATATTATACAGGTTTCTAATTTAGCCAGTGTAATAGATACGAAACAATCAATATCTCATTGTTTTAATTTGTATTCCTCTGATTACTAAGGAACTTGACATCTTTTTAATACACTTGTTGGCTTTTTGGGTTTCCTCTTCCATAAATTTCTTGTTCACACCCTTTGCTCATCTTTTTATGGAGGTTCCTATCTTTATGTCGTTACTTTGCAAAAGGTCTTGATATATTTAGGATAATAGTTCCTTGTTGGTTTTAAACACTGCAGATGAATTCCCCCAAATGTCATGTGTCTATGAACTTTATCCATATTGTTCTTTGTTGAACAGAAATTCCTAATTTTGAGATAATCAAATACTTTTTTCTCTTTATTTTTATGCTCTTGGGATTTTGATTTGAAGTTACAAAGATAACTTTCTATAATTTTGATTACCTTTATATTTATGGATTTACTTTTCACATATTGATCTTTAATCCACCTTGAGTCTACTTTCATTCATATGTGGTATTAAATAGGGATCCAGTACTATTTTTGTTTTTATAGTACGTCAGTTTTTCCAATACCATCCATTAAACAAACACACCTTTCCTCAGTGGTCTGTAGTGTCATCTTTAGTGTGTGTATATTTGAAACAAAGATGTAAAACTGCTAGTGTTTACATATATGATAATCTACCTAGAAAAAGCAAATACAATCAGCAGCCAAGTGATTACAACCAATAAAAGGGTTGCAAGGTCTTTCTTTCTTTCTTTCTTTCTTTCTTTCTTTCTTTCTTTCTCTGCTTTCTGTCCTCCCTTTTTCCTTCTTCCCTCTTCTTTTTATCCTTCCTTCCTTCCTTCCTTCCTTCCTTCCTTCCTTCCTTCCTTCCTTCCTTCTTTCCTCTTCTCTCCCTCTCTTTCTCTCTCTCTCTGGATATGTGTGAGTCTCCAGCTTGTCCCATTCTTTTTATTTCTATTGTTACCTTTATTTATTTTAATTGTCTTTATTTCTCAGATATCTTTGTATTTGGTGGATTTCTTTTTCTTTCTCAGAGTCAATGCAGCTATTTCTGGACCTTTATTCTTCCCTGTAACTTTTAGAATAAGTGCACATGGATACATCAAAATAATTGTGATTGGGAGTCCAATAAATTCGTGCAGTAATTTGGAAAATTGATTACTAGGTTTTCCCATCCAAGGTCCCAGAATGTCTCTTTACCTATACAGATTATTTTCTATGTATTTTATTAGAGTTAAAAATTAATACTTTCTCCATAAAGGATGTGGGAATTCTCAGATAGTCTATAAGTTTTGATGCAATGATAACATTTCTAAAATTATATTTCATAGTTGGTTACTGATGATGTAAAGAAAATGCCATTAATTTCTATAAGTTGTTTTTGCTTGTGGTAATTAGTTATACCTATAACTTTTTTTTTTTTGAGAGAGAGAGAGAGAGGATGCAAGTGAGCAAGGGGCACAGAGGGAGGGAGAGGGAGAGAGAGAAGTGGGGCTCACCTGATGCAGGGCTCGAGCTCACCAGATGTGGGGCTCGAACTCAAGAACCATGAGATCATGACCTAAGCCAAAGTCAGGTGCTTAACTGACTGAGCAACCTAGGTGCCCCACATACCTAAAACTTCTTTATTTCTTCTTATAGAATTGTTCTCACCCTTGAGGACTACATTCAATAATAGTGGTGATATGGAGCATCTCTGTCTTTTTCCTAATCTTGAAGGATTAGTTTTGATCCGACACACATATATACACTCACATATTTTATATACATAATTGTTGGGTTGTTAGATAATACTTGAGTTAGAATTTTTGTATTTATATCCATACATGAAATGGCCCTATTTATTTATTCTTTTTGGTCCCTTTAGCTACTTTTGGAGTCAAGATCACACTAGCCTCATGGATGGCCATGTTTTCTGCAACAACTTACTAAGAAATGACTTTATTATCTCTTGAAAATCTGGTAGAATTTACCCGTAAAATAATATGGCCTTGGATAATTTGGAGATGGGAAGATTTTACCATTTAAAATTTTTAAAGACTTTTAAGTCTTAGTTCTTTTGGTGCTAATTTTAATATTTTATATATTTTTCTCAATATTTGTTCCATCTCAATTAAAAAATTATTATGTCATTATTTGCTTCTAACAACCTTTTTAAAAAATTTTTAAATGTTTATTCATTTTTGAGAGAGAGAGCAGAAGACAGGCAGAGAGAGAGGGAGACACAGAATATGAAGCAGGCCCCAGGTTCTGAGCTGTTAGCACAGAGCCCGACGCGGGGCTCAAACCTATGAACTGTGAGATTATGACCTGAGCTGAAGTCGGATGCTTAACCGACTGAGCAACCCAGGTGCCCCTGTTTCTAACAGTCTTTATATGTTTTTTTTTTTTTAATTTAAAAATTTTCTAACACTCTTTAATTCAATTAAAGTCTATAGTTATTTATCCTATCCTATTTTATATGCTGGAGAGGCAGCAGAGTGAATCAATGGAAAGTTAATTGTT